AAGGGGCAGCCGGAGACCAGGGCCTGCACTGCTTGCTGGCTCCTTCCCCCACTGCATGGCAGGCAGGACCGGTGGACAGGGATGTGTAAAGCCCCAGAAACTGGCAGGCGGGAGCTTTGTTCTTCTCTGGGCTGATCTACAAGGCCACTTCCGTGGCTCAGGGCATGTCTGCCTCTGATCAAGGAACAGGCTGCTTTCCTCAGAGTGCAGCGCAAACCCCCACTGCTTGAATCTCCTTTCCCCTGGAGCTGCACTTCATTTGCTCAACCACCACTCCCTGGCTCTGCATGGGGTGACTCTAAGCTTGCTAATTAACTGACAAACCCAGCGTCCGGAAGACACTGGTGAGTTTGGGGTCCCAGTGTGGCAGGTATCTATGTACAGAGAGTGCCTTCCTTTCCCCCCTTAAAACACTGATTTCTTCCCCCTGCTTAGCCATTATGGGGGCCCCCCCAGTCACCATGGGGAGGTCCATTTGCACACGCACACACATGCACACGCACGCACACACGGAGGCCAGGAATGGAGGCTGTGCCTTGCCAGCAGCGCAGGGAGTCCAAGGTGGCTGGCCAGGATCCAGTGGCCTCACAGAGCTCTCTGGCTGGTGCGAGTGCATGGCCCAGAGGGGAGGCGGGAGCAGAGCAGCAGGGACACAGCCATGGCAGCAGCAGCAGGCACACAGCCATGGCTGCAGCAGGACCTTCATAGGGAAGAATGGTGGCCAGATCTGATTTTGCCCCCCCATGATGCTCTCTGGCTCCCTGTCCCAGGCATGGCTTTCCACTGCTCCATTATCTGGATTCTGGGCAACAGAACAGCAGGAAAAGCTTGCAGGCAGTGTGCCGGTGCACTGCTTTGTTCCTGCAGCAGGGAGAGTGCAAACATGTGTATGTGGATCCATTTGTCGCGAGAATCACAGGTCCGATAATGAATACCCAAGGGAGGAAGGACAGAGCCAGGTGGACAGTTTTATCAAATAAAAAATATTTATTTATGACAGTGGTGAATTTATAGTATTTATTCTAAGATTTTTAATAGACCGTGTTAATAATGAATTTACAGTATTTATTATATTTATTCTATGGTTTCTAGTAAAACGTGTCAGAGATATAGGGATGGGAATGGCAAGGGGAATAGTCTCTAATCCTAAAATATCCAGCTACAGTAATAAAATAACAGTGATAACTACAAACTCTTATGTACTACCCACAAACAACTACAACACTAAGCTTATACAACAAGAAAAAATCAAATCATACATACCAACTTACACAGCACACGGAACATTTCACAGATATCGGTTCGGTTGCGAAGGCCTTGGTTACGCCCGAGAGTCAGGGGAGGTGGCTGGTCAGTTGATCAAGACGGCAGCGCTTTGAAGTATAC